AATTCATTGCAAGGTGCATGAAATGTAAGAACCAGCTGTTTTTGTATCCATATCGCATTGAGCAGAGAAAAATAAAAATATAACAATGTCGCCAACAAGAATATAATTAATAGAAGAACATAATTATTGGCACAGCAAGCATTATTTTTGGCATTTTTTGGCACTATTTTTAATCTGTTAATGATGTACAGATGTCCAAAGAAGCCCATTATAACAACAAAGTCAGAACTGAAGGTGGCTTTGTAAATGCTATTAACAAACGCTATTAACAAACTCTATTAACATTGTTTAGGCTTTATTCTTAGAACTATGCGATTTAATTCTAGACATGGATTGCTTCTTACATGGATAAGTCTGACAATATCTTTATCTACACTGATATGGGAATAGCAACAAGGGGAATTTCCCAGCGTTTGCCGGGTCAGCTAGTACTTATATAATATCTTGGTGAAACATAAATACATAATCTGAGTAAGGTAAGGTTAAAAAACATTCAGCTTCTTTTCTCCCTTTTTTATATCATTTTAAATTTCATAATGATAGCCAGGAGAATTTTTACAAAGTTGTTCATATCCTTAATATCCCTATTGATATTGAAACTTGCATTTGTTGACATATAAGCCATGCATACAAAAAGGTTAAACTTCATTTAAGTGGGTTAAGTATATAGAAAATCTTTAGACTTTAAGTTTATTTCTTTAAAGGCATATACCTATAAGATTTTCTGAAGGGTTAAGTTTGTCCTTTGAGAATGTGTATTTTAATTATTTATATTAATTAATTAAGTTTCTTGCAAAAATAAACTAGTAGTACTATATTTTTTATATACTTAAAATAAATAGTTTTTATCATTTACAGAATATTTTTCTTTTTTATTTATTAGTGTTAGCCGTCAAAATGTTTGCTAGGCTTACAAATTCTAAGCAAAGAGGAACAGATTTGTAATATAAAATACAAGCAATTATTTATGTTAATAAACATATACGTACATATTGGCCATTACAAGCCAGACGATGTTTGACTTTACCATCTCCGATTTGGTAGAAATTTTTTTATATACTATTACTTCTATTGTCCATATCCCCCAGTGCGACATAAGGCCTCAGTAATTATTTTTATTCTGACTATAGATTTCTCTATAGATTCTCTATAGATTCTCTATAGATTTCGTTTTATGTATATCGTGCTTCAGCTAGTTTACTTTCGACCGTTCTTCTCCACATTTTCACTGGCGCACCCGGTTTTCTGCTACCTTGTGAATTTCATGCAAGAGCTTGCCTCGCTATGTATACTACTTTTCTATACTACTTCTTGAGAATTTGTAATTTAGAAAAATTTCTAAGTAACTAAATCTCAGGTTCTGATAGGTAGACCTTTAAAATTTTTGTGTAGTAAAGATATTGAACGTTTTTCAAATGGTTAAAATAATTAAAATTGTTTCTATTTAAATACTAATATTTTAGCACTAAACTTCAGTTTAATAAAATTTAGATGAATAAACCATGTAAATATTTATATTTTGTTTTTAATTTTAAATCTAAATTTGATCAAAAATATAATTATTTCAAAATGCAATTCGCATTTTCATAATTTGTCCGTCGAATTAAATTTCGTAAAATGTAACAAAACTCCAAGTTGAAGTTCCAAGGCAAGTTTGACTTGGATCGGTTGGATAATGAATAAATGTTTTGAGATTTGCAAGGTAGTAATATACCTTATAAGCATCTTAAAGACTGTCGTACGTCTTTTACTCTGAACAAGGTATTAAAGTCAACGTCAAGGTAGTCACACATCTTGACTAGTAGCATCGCAGAATTGACTATAAGGTACTCACAAAATTTTGAGTAGTATTTTTGTAGAGTCAACGTCAAGCTAGTCATACATTTTGACTAGTAGTATCGTAGAGTCAACGTCAAGGTATTCATACGTTTTGAGTAGTAGTTTTGTAGAGTCAACGTCAAGGTAGTCATACATTTTGACTAGTAGAAGTCAAAAGGCCTAATTAAGTCGGTAATACGACTAATAACCTAGTTTTATCTCTCTAATAAGAGCAGGGGGTGGGGGTGGGATTAAACATACAAGGTAAAGTGTCTGATTGCATTTAACATGGTAAATACCAGCGCGATCCTTGTCACTGTTCTCTGCAAGTTGACACACAGCCTCCACGTGGCTCTTCTGGATAGCTACAATCATCGGTGCATAGTGAACTAATGTGTGCAGCGAAATCCACCTCAGGTTATGCGTCGGGCTTGGAACCCACCATATAAAAACAACATTCAATGCAAACGAAGAGGCAGCCTCGTATAAAGAAACAATCTACTGATGACGACAAACGCAAACGTATTAAGGCACATGATTTAAAAGCATGCACCTGGAATGTCCGAACTCTTTACAGAGATGTGCATCTATACAGCTGGTTAATGTCCTAAAGAAATATAAGGCTGACATTACCGCCCTCCAGGAAATGCGATTGACGGGAGAAGGATGTTCTAAACGAAAACATTGTGACATGCAACAAAGCTCGAATTTGAAGTCGGATTTGCGGTAAGCCTAAAGTTGAAAAATTTGGTCTCAATATTTACACCAATGAACGAAAGGTTCGCAATAATCCGCGTCAAGCGCAAATTTTTCTTCATCACTCAAATTTGTGCGCATGCCCAACGTGATCTCAAATTGATCACGTTGTGATAGACGGAAGGCATGCTTCCAGTGTCTTGGATATACGTACTATCCGAGGAGCCAACATCGACTCGGATCATTATCTTATTGCAGCCAAGATCCGCACACGTTTATGTGCGATGAAAAAGGTACGTGAACAAGCACAGCGAAAGCTAGACGTCGAAAAGCTGCAATCACAACAGACAGCTAATGACTTCGCTACTCGACTCTCCCAGTATCTGGAAAATTCATGGTTTACCGACTGAGCTGTTTAAAGCTGGTGGCGAAGAGCTATCAAAATGCATGCTACAGTTAATTTGCAACATTTAGTCGGATGAATGCATGCCCAACGATTGGAATTTAAGTGTGCTTTGCCCAATCCACAAAAAAGGTGATTCTGCAAACTGCGCCAACTACAGTCTTTTAAATATCGCATATAAGGTTCTGTCAAACGTATTATATAAAAGATTGAAGCCAATCGTCAACCAACTGATTGAACCTAATCAATGTGGCAGACCTGGCAAATCCACTCTAGACCAGATATTCACAGTGCGTCAAATCCTGGAGAAGACTCAAGAAAAACAAATCGACACATAGCACCTATTTGTCGACGTCAAAGCTGCTTTTGACACTACGACTAGAAGCACACTCTATGCCGCTATGTGTGAATTTGGTGTCCCAGCAAAACTTATACGGCTATTATGAAATGACGATGAGCAACCCCACCAGCTCCGTTAGAATTGGGAAGAACCTCTCCGAGCCGTTGGATACCAAACGAGGTTTCAGACAGGGTGACTCCTTGTCGTGTGACTACTTATAACCTAGTGTTTTAAACGATAATTCGAGTAGCAGATTTTAACCGTACTGACACAATATTCCACAAAAGTGTAATGCTGCTTGCGTATGCCGACGATATTGATAGCAAATGGGTCTTGTGGTAAATGAGGACAAAACAAAGTGCTTTCTGTCAACAAACAAATCTCCTAAGCCTCTTGGGACCTACGTCACTGTTAACAATTATAAATTCGAAGTTGTGAAAGAGTTTATTTATTTAGGAACTATTTTAATTACCAAAAATGACGTCAGCCTAGAGATTCAACGAAGCATCACTCTTGCAACAAATGTTGCTTCGGGCTAAGTAAGCATTTGAGAAATAAAGCCCTCTGTCAACAAACAAAAATCACGCTCTACAAATCTCTTATCATGCCTGTCTTGCTGTATGGTGCAGAAGCTTGGACAATTACCAACAGTGATAAGAAGGCGTTAGGAGCATTCGAAAGAAGATCATCTATGGTCCATTACGCGTTGGCGACGAGTTTCGAATTAGATGGAACGATAAGCTGTATGAGCTATACCGCAACATTGACATAGTTAAGTTAAATGTGCATTATATTTATATTTTATTAAGCCTTGTGCCGCGTCATATGCTTCCGCACTGCCTCCATAAGCTATCTACAAGTAATGTGAATTGCATTTTTTGCAGCGCGACGTTTCGTAGTTCACTGATGCTGCTGTAGTATTTTCAGTTGGCTCCTGCTTTAATGTTAATTTCGTGGACCCTTTCCAAGTCATTTTCGGACTGACTCTTCGTCTGTTGCCTTATGGACTATATCAGAGTTGTGTGTGTGTCATTGAGTTCAGTAAATGCGCTAATTTCTTTCTTTATTTTTGCAACTAAATTCTTCAGTGTACCTCCTGTGAACGTAAACATGCCACGTACTGAAATTCTTCAACATGATCGGTTGGTGATTGTTTAGTTCCAACTGTTCATTCGACGATATCTTTATTCGCATTTATTCAGTTTTTGCGGTATTTATAACGAGTCCAGCCTTGGAAGAGTTAAGTTTTCCTTCATGTTGGCACGACGGTTGGCTAGTTCACATTTATTATCTGGAATGTCCAATGTGAATTGGTTTAATTTAATTTTCACAAAAAGATAAGAAGGTATAGGCTGGTGGTCGGTACTTAGAAAAAAACTACTTAAGGGAGTTGGCATGGAGTGGGGTAACTATATTGGACCTTATTCTTTTACTTTCTTTTAACATTAATTTCTCAATAATTAGGCGTACATAATAGAATATTTGCGAAAATGGAAGACCTATGTAAATACCATAATTGTACGTATTTCAAAACTAATATTTAATCAATTTCTGCAATAAAAAATGTTTTTATATTTTCTTTTGGTAAAATTTTTAGTTACATTACAGAGCCAACTAAATCTTCTTACTAATCTTAGCACTCAGCAATATTGCCATATTAAATATCAACAGGAAAACCAAATTTCGAAAGTTTTTTAACAAAGACATTGATTATTAAATTGTCAAAAAATATATTTTATAATCAATAACAGATAAAATGTTTTCTGGTAGATAAAAAGATTTACGTATTTATTTTCATTATCTTTTTTTTTTTTTGCAAAAACTATATTTTTGCAAAATGGCTGAGGCTGACACACCCATCTCTTCGGAATTGAAAAAAAAGCAAAGCGTGCAGAAAATACTCAAATGGTATAGGAAAAAAATTGAAATTTGTCCAAGTGCGGATGAATCAGTTGAAAGAGACCCAAGTTATAACTCTATATTAGTTGAAGAGCTTCTCAATGAACCGGCATCGGAAATGAGTAAAAAGGAAAAGTTCGAAGAAATTTTATTTGATCTCTATAGTAGTAAATGCGGTGTCACAGAACCACGCCCTTCAGAACCAATGGGGTTTGCTAAAGATTTTCGTCTTTTGAATAGAAGAAGAAAAAGCAAAGTACCAGAGTATTTCCGAAGAAATAGGTTGTCGTCTTTCTTTGGAAAATTTCTTGTTCATCCTAAAGAGTATCTAAAACTACAGAAAAGCAAATCTGTAGCAGTAGAAAAAGAGGTAAGTGAATCGGACGAACTTGAATCATTCGTATGCGAGCGAATTTTTGATGATGGAAGAGACGTAAGCCTTCAACCTAGTTACTCAAAATTTGCTGTACCGTAGTAAGTAAGAGATTTAATTGTAATGCATTGATCCAGATATACAAAAAAATGTGTTGTAATTTAATTTTATAATTAACAATAATGGTTTTGTGTCATAGCAATATCATTTGTCTTGATCGCGTGCGAGAAATGAAACGTAAGTTTGAACAACAATTTCAATACGAAATTCGTCAGCTTTTGCATTACACACAAAAAGCTCACGAGGTTGCAATGTTACAAAGGTATGTATTTATTGTGGAAATGTTGTAATATTTAAGAAATTATTATAGAACTTTTTCTTAAAGTCATGTTGCGTGTACAACTTTATGGCCACCATTGCATAATAGAAAGGAAATTGAAAGAACTTCTTGCATGTTTAAGCTCTCCAACAAGGAACGTAAACGTTTGGAATATATTATGTGTAATGAGATAACATAGATTATCGTTGCATAGTTGGAAGATAATGTAGTTGTATTATTGCATGATAATAACAAAATTTTGTAATATATATTATGTAAATCCTGCAATAATAAAATATTTGTATACACATAATTACTAAGCATATTTGTTATACTTGTACCAGTTTTAATTATACTAAGACCTATTATCATTAGGCAGTGGTATACTCTGCCTTATAAGTTATAATATGCAGTTCCTGAAAACTTCTACGCTCTAGATACATCGTTTAGTTTAAATTTTCAACCTTTTTTCGCTCAATAGGGACTATATAAAATAATAGAATCTATTTTTTGACAATTGCAAAATACCGGAACTGGCTAGTATTATCTTTTAGTTTTAGTTATATTAAGAAGTCAAAGTTGATATAACAACAATTTGAATGTATATTTAAGGCAAATTTATATTATCCTACGAACCACAACAAAGTCCTTGATCAAAATCCTTAGGCCTACCCTATAATTAAAGACAGAGGGCGTAATTTTATCTCGGCCCATACTAATTGTAACTTATCTTTCGATCATTTAGCAGTCATATATCATTTAATGCAATAACCGAAGCTAAAAAAGTATTGGCTTAACTTAAAAAAATACACAAGTACTTACATCCACTCTAACTGCGCAATAGATAACAACTGCATATTATTTTCTGTGATTCAATGACATAAGAAGTTATTTATAAAAACGTAGGTTTAGACGTCAATAGTAAAAAGTAGATGTACTATATACATAAGATACCTGGTCTGAGGCTGGCGACCTCTTATCTGTTATAAAATCTATTACCACGAATCCAACAATACTGCCTCGGATAAGAACACCCTCAAGATATCGACCTAAGCAACGTATAAAGGACAACGGTTTTAAATAAGCAACATGGAACGTATGCTTCAACCAGGTAAAATGGCAGAAATAGCTGACGAACTTAGAACGTATGACACTACAGTAGCATGTCTGCTAGAAGTAAGGTGGAAGGGGCATGACGAAATCAAGAAACGAGATTACAGCATTTTTTACAGCGGCGCCGAAATTCAAACGCGAAATTGTGTAATGGCTCTGGAACCATTAAATGAACGTATACGCTATTTGCGACTCAAAGGCAAATTCCAAAATATATCAATTTTGTCGGTCTATGCGCCCACAGAAGAAAGTGAAGATGAGAACAAGGATGAATTCTACGATAAAATGGCGAATGTATGCAGTAAAATAAGCAGGTATGATATTAAAATACTTTACGGCGATTACAATGCAAAGATCGGAAAGGAACAATCAATAATACAACAAATCGCAGGAAAATATTCGCTTCATGAAAATACAAACGGTTATGGTCTACGTCTATGTAACTTTGTCGAATATCAAGGACTATTTAAAAGTAGTACATCCTTTTAGCACAAGCGTACACATAAGGAAACCTGGAGAATACCAGGACAAAATGATATTAATGACATATGTCTTCAGTTATTGATGTACGATCTTTCCGGGGTGCAAATTGTGACTCAGATCACTATATGGTTGTTGCGCGTATTCGCCAAAGAATATTGGCTTAAATCGCAAAAAATGAATACATTAAGAAACATTGGAACGTTGAGGCTTCTATAACAAACGAATCTGCAAGAGCTGCTTATCAAGAAAAAATTGTAAACAAACTAGAACTAGGACTTTAAACAAACCTTATAGGTAGTACTATATTTTATAAATCTACACAAATATGCGCCTATGCTGACGATATTGTCATTATTATTATGTCAAGAAACAACAAGTATCTTGAAAGCGTTTTCATACAACTAGAACAAGCTACAAAGCAAACACGCCTAAGAATAAACGAAGAAAAAACTAAATACATGACAAGATTTCCCCAAGATAGCCACATCAGAATAGGCAGTTACAATTCTGAGTCTATAAACGAGTTGAAATATTTGGGCGTAGTTCTTAGCACAAGTAAAGATACGATCCTTGCAATACAAGATCGAATTTAAACAGCTAACAGAGCGTATTTTGCCAATTTCAAGTTTATAAAATCAACGTTCTATCAAAGGAACAAAAATTGCCAATATATAAAACTGTCATTAGACCGGTTCTTACCTACAGCTGCGAAACATGGGTCCTTAAATCTAGCGACAACAATATGTTATTGAGATTCGAAAGAAAAATACTCAGGAAAATATTTGGCCCGGTATGCTTAGAAGACGGCACATATCGTATAAGGAATAACGACGAATTAAATGTCTTGAACGAAGACTGAACTATAACACGATACATAAAAGCCCAAAGATTGCGTTGGTATCGACACGTCCTACGAATGAGTAACGAAAGAATGATTAAGAAAATTTTTGAAACAAAGCCAGAGGGGAGTAGAAAAAGAGGACGACCGCGCCGAAGATGGTTACAAGATGCAGAAGACAATTTACGAACGATGGGAATAACACAATACAGAAATAAAGCGAATTGCAGAGAAAAATGGAGGCGGGCGTATTGTAGAGGGGGCAATGGTCCATCGTGGACTGTGATGCCAAAACGATGATGATATACATAGGATAAGTGGGATTCGAGATTCAAATTGAAAATAGGCACTAAGTGATGAAGAACAAGCAACAGTTTTTGCTTAACATTTAATCTGGTTTTACAGCCTTATTCTGCTTTTACCATATTTTTTTTCCAGCTAACTTTTTGTATTCATAATAAAGACATCAATACGTATACCGCGCTATTTTTATGTTTCTTAAAATTTTCCGATTATTGCTGCAGTTACGCAAGGTAGTTCTCTGTTAATCTTTCTATATTTACTCCACACATTCGATTTTTCACTACTAATATGTAAACAGATTACACTGTTATATTAAACCGACTCAAAGATGAAGCAGTATTTTTGGATGCAGTTCTGGGTACAAAGTATAAAGATGCAGTACTAGGTGGATGGTTTATAAAAATTACTGAAACTATAAACTAATAAATCGACAGGTTATTTTAAGCATATAAAGAATGACAATATTCACAGAGATCTGCATGTACTATATGTAAAAATGGTAATTAATATCGTAAGGTAAAGATGTATAAATAAATTAAAGAACACGCTAAAAATAAGAAAGTTCGCAGTATTTTAGTCCATATTCTTGCCGTGAGGCTCTTATTAAAAGAGCAACTAATTTTATTTCATCTTACAAATTTTGTTTTTTTTGCATTATAAAATATAATTATTAATACAAGATTCAAAAACTTATTGTAAATCTCGAATGAATAAACAATATTCACTAATTAATAAAATAGTAGTTAAAATAAAAAAAAAAATTCGAACAATGATAGTTTTAATTCCCTTTTTTTGGAAGTTTGTATATATACATACATATAGAAATTAGATTTACACAACCAATATTTCGTTCTTTATTTCTGCAAGTTTCGGAAATAATAATAACTTGCGTTTGTTATAAAATAATAGGTAAATAAATAAATTCAGATTAATGGCGTTTTGGATTGGTAAATCTGTGGTAATTTTTTCAATGGGAATCCAGTTTTAATGCACAGTTTTTATTTTCGATTGGTAAATCTGGGACAAATACATTTTAAACACTCGAAATTTACTTATAACACTCTAGATTTTTTGCCAGAGTAGCAAGTTTACCCTTAAATGAACCGCTGTTTCTTATGATTTCATACATTTCATACATGATTTGATTCGATATATATTTTTATGAAAAATATAAATATCTACTAATACTACTATAAAAATGTTAGATTAGTCTAAAAATGTTTGATTGGACAGTAAAATTCGACAGATCCAGAGTGATATTGGATGCATACGAGAGTTTTGTTTGTAATTTTAGCTGTGAATTGTTGTTGTCACCAATGCAAAATGAAAATTTTTGACAGCTAAAATTACAAACAAAATTCTTGTGTGAATCCAGTATAAATCGAAATTGAATACAGATTTACGAATTGAACAGGCTATAAGCTTTAAATGTCTGTTGTATAGAAATCTAAAAATACATAAAAATAAATAATTCATTGACATTTCTTGTTAAAAGTTTTTATCTTTAAGTAATTTGATGGACAACAAGTCGACACTAAAAAGAGACACATTTCTTTGTAATTATAAAAAATATATGACATTAGCATAAAATATAAATAACATTAAACATAAATATTAAATATTCACAATAATTAACATAAAATATAATAATTTTTTTAAATTTGTGATAAATGTACATCAAATATGTATCTATGAATAATGGTCTTATTTTAATAGAAAAGTAAGTTGACTTATAAGTTAGTATTCTTACTTTGTTGACACAAGAGATATACTTTTGCACCAGACATACTTGTGATTAATTTATAATTTAATTGGTTTATAATTTAGGACTAATGATTATAAAGTTGAATTAGTTTTGCTAAAAAAGCTATGCTTTCTTATAATGACAAAAAAAACTATTTTGGACTGCCTGGAACTTACAGTCCAAGCAAATTATATACGGGCTATAATCCAATTAAGAAATTCGAATATTTCATAAGACCACTGATGATGAGTTTTCGGAACAGGGTTGTATGGTCAGCCTAATAATAATGTTATGTATTTTATTTTAATTTATTTAATTTTATTACATTTTATTCTATTTTATTTTATTTTATTTTATTTTGACATAGTTCAACTGGGAGCAAATGGAGCTTACAGCACAACTAAAGAACCATTTTAATTATTTACTGTGTAAATTTCGTTCATTTTCATAGGAAGTAATTACCCAAAAATTCACTTAAGAATTAAAGTTTTTAATTTAAATTCAACCCTAACTATTAATCCTTGTTTTATTTCAGGTAGATTTTTTTGTCATAGGGCATAAATATTTTAATTATATAATGTCTACAAAACTGTAACATTAAATTTTTTTGATTAATATTTAATGCACTAAGTCATTTATATAGTTATTAATTTTGTTTTTTGTAAAAAATATGGACGGTTTTTTTATAGTGTATAAAAATTTTAATAAATTACAAGTTCTCTCATTTTTGATCCAATACCTTTCGACAGTTTTCTGGCAGTAGCTGAATTCTAATCTCATAAAATGTTTGATCTTCTGACGATCTCAATTTCGGTAAATTTAAAATTTTGTAAAATATTTTGCAGAGATCGGAAGAAGTTATAATTGTGTAATGATACGAAGGTGCTAAATCTGCATAATACGGTGAGCGTGGTAATAAAATTCATCTGAAATAAAAAAGTTTTTGGTGATTTACAAAATTTGAACACGAAACTTATTCATTTGATCACTTTTAATCATCTTTAACCTTTTTTGTTTAAATATATAATCAATTTGTCCAGTTGAACACAGTACACTTGGTCTGTTTCACAATCTACTCGCAGTAAAACTCAAGTAAAACACAAGTAAAGTACAAACTGATAAATAAATAAATTAAATAAACAATACAAAAATTTGAAATCAATCCAAAACCGCTGACTCACATATTCACGTAAAATCTGTTTAAAATATAATATACGAGTAAAGTCTGTGAAGCATTTTCAAATTTCGACAGGGATGTTACGCTCTCTCAGATGCTCACATTTACTCGAAAATTTACTGGTGTAATGCACTTATGTATACACAGTGTTACTGAAAGTTACTACTAGTAGCTGGTGGAACAGACCTACTATTTTATTCTGTCAATTAATTCAAAATAATATGTAGATTTAAGTGCACATGTATTAATATAAAAACTTTAAAGGATTGACGAAAGTAATTAATAAATGAGCTTTAAGTCTGAAAGCCTAAAATCAAAGGCTTTCAAATATAATGAATAAAGACATTTTCATAATTTTTACATTAATTAAATTTTTAGCTGATCATACAAAGTATAACTTTTCGATAATAATAAGCACCCAACCTATAAGAAAGTAAAAAATATGGTTAAATATAGTGTTTACAAAAAGGAAAATATTCTAAAATCTAAGAATAACAGTTAAATCATTAGATATAGTTGAAGTTTATGCATTCCCTCTGACATAACAAACCAAGTGAATTTGTTAGCTATCATTAAACAACAAATTGACAAAAATTCCCATTTATTACACCACAACTTAGGTACGGTGTTATGTCAAATGTCTTAACCAGGACTCCATTCTTCAAATTTTATAAAGATGAACCTCACTTCCAATTGGTAACATAATTTAAACTATAATTTATAGAAAAATACAATACAATTTTATAAAAATTAAAAAACTTTTAAATTGCACTTCAAATTACAGAATATTAAAATCTCTATTAAAATGCCCTAGATCTAAAAACTTACTTATAACTTAAACTAATAAAATGTAATAATTCTTGTATATTGCTTTTATTTAAACGAGTAGATAGCATTTTCTACAGAAGCAACTACTATTCTGATTCTATATGTAAATATGTATTTTGCTTAAAGCTTGAGCCAACAAACTTTTTCTAGTATTTGTGCTTTTTTTTGTGTGGCAACATCATCCTTTGGGTAAAGAGTAAATGTGTGAAAAACCGGCCACAGTACATAAACAATTTCAAAACAATTCAGAAATAAGTTTTTAAATTTTGTAGAATTTTTATGGAATTAATTTTAAAAATTTACAAACCTCCAAATGTTTATATTAACATTTTTAAAGCTTTAAAAAATGATATAATACAATATTTTGAATATATTTAAGAAAATCTTACATATTATAATTATTAGAACTTTAAATACTTGGTATGTTTATACCTACATCTTAATTAATCAAACTAACTAATCAAAAAAAATTATTTACAAATAATTAAATACGAACATTATATCCAAGACTACAGATAATGGGTTGGGTATTTGACAATACTCGAAAGAGCTGTAAGGTCAGCTAAAAATTCAATTAATTAAAATAATAAAAAATGAATTTTTGTTGTTCTAGTTCACTACTTTTCGAAAAAACCTTTTTATAAAATAAATAATTGGAATGAAGACTGTTGAAGAAATAAATGAACTATATCCTAAAAAAATCGTATATACAGAAAACAGTTTTCTGAACCTATTTTGCTCCCCAAAACGCACACTAAAGCTTATATTAAATGTGTTGTTGAGTTAAAAGAGTTATTTCGATCTCTAAAACAATCTCACAATTTAAAGTACATATAAATATATATATATATTCACGTGTGTGAATATACTAACAACATAATAGGGGTATTTAATCTGTCTTACAAACTAATTGCAACGTGCTCTAAATGCACAGATTGCGTGAGCTTGAAATGGACAGCAACAAAATACACGCACAAAGTTTCGTGCAATGGCTTGCAATCTTACTATACCTAAACATGTGTATATATCCTTGCAACAAAACAAAAAATAAATGTTAAACAGCTGTTTTGACATCTGTTGCTTTTCAATTGGAAGTGGTATGTAGCAAAAACAGCAGTTTCATTAAGCACTTTTGCAATGTTAGTATAGCATTCTTGTATTTCGTGCACCTTGCAATGACTTTGCAAATCAGAGTGAGTACCACTAATCTTACACATAATTATAATAATTCGCCAAATATTTTTAATTTTCATCTTAATAAATTGGTAATAATTGCTTTATTATTAATTAATAATTTTGTAAATAATACAGTAAATTTAAAATTCATACAATTAGTCCTGTTTAAATATAAGTAGATATTCTCATTAGGAACTACAAACGCACTAATTTAATACAAAATTCCTAATTACTCTACATCATCTCAAGTTTCATTGAAGATGATTGAGTGGCAGGAATGATAAGTGCTCGTTGTCAAATGTGTTAATTCCACTAGAGAATTAAGAAGTGATTTAATATGTTCGTGTTAATTCACAGGAGTTGAGTGCAACTAAATATTTTGCACTAAGAAGCGCGATTGTTGACAACTTAATGTAAATTTATTACTGCTCAATTTCAAAGAAGTTAATGCATTCAATATATTGAAATGATTGCAATTTGAGTCCAAATCAATTAATATGTTTCAATGAAATAACGGTGTCTAATTCCTAATAATATTTAATTAAATCGAACAAAATGTTGTACATATATATTTTAATTCGAAAATAAATTTCATGCACTAAAAATATTTAAAGTTTGATAAAATTTCAAAATCAATTTAAACAAAATGTTATTTATAAATAAATACATATTTAATTAATTCTGAGTATAATGTGACTCTCTACTTAAAAAAAATTAAATCTACATAAAATATTTGAAATTTATTACTTATATATATTTAAAATACATTAGTTGTGGTGGAGGGAGGACCGAATCCTTCTCATTCAGCTAAGAAAGCCATTTTGAATACATGAATTCTCGTAATAATGAGTATTAAAGAGGAGATCAAGCTAGAACCAGCCAGAGGCATTTATATAGGCAAGAATCTAGTCAATGTTAAGGCTATAGATATCGCCAAGTGTGTGGAAGAAGGATGCTCCCAGAAACTTAAGCCTAGTTCTTACCAAGCTTGGACATAGACACAGCAGATGTTCTGGTGTCCTGTCTTCGATAAACATGCATTGCAAGAGCTGTCACAGAGTAGGCCAAGCCTAGCTTTATGTCGTCCATATATAATACATATAAAATACATAAGTAATTAATAAGTAGAAACTTGACTGACATAATACACAATATCAGAACAGAATCAATCATAAAAGATATTCAAGATATTCAATATTCAATATTTCAAATTCGTACTATGTTATATCTCAAAGAAAGTAGAAATATGAAAACTATGAATATCTGAGTCTAGAGAATTATTTACAAATAATCAAATGGGTATTTTAATGCTCGAAACAGCTTTTAACATGAAATTTAATTTATAACTCCCAGCATCATTTTAAAAGTATTTAAAAAATTTACTGAAAATGGTACACAGCATATAAATTACTAAACAAAACTGAATATTAGTTACGAAACACGCATCTGAAGCCTACTCATGCACGCAATCTATGCTGAACAGTGCCCGTCCGTTTCGAATAAATTAACACAGTCAAATCAAAGTGCCAGTTAAGTGTACCAAAAATCAGTTAAAGTTGCCTAAAACGCACATAGTCGCTATAAGCAACATAATTATAAATACTCTTAAAGATAAAAATACATTTTTTAGGTTTTTTTTTTATGTTGTTATCTTATTAATTTTTGATTATTCTCAGAGTATCGTACACCGTACTTACAGAAACAAATCACTCTTATATTATTTGTTTTATTTAAAATATGTTTCATTATAATTCACTATCCTAATGGCACAGAAATAGGAAACATTAGCAATAATTTCATTGTAGTGTATCTAATTACTCTATAAGAGTAATTAATATGTAATAATATCCTCTTAAAAATAATATATAGTGTAAAGTCAGCAATTTGTTGCAAACTTAGAGAAATAGCAAAAAGACGGGAAAGGGCAAATTATTTTAGTATTTCGAACTTAAAACATAGCAAGATTTTAATTTAGCTCTAACTTAATAACGACATCCCGGAATCGAATGACGAAAAAGGACCCAAGCCGTTTCGTGGTCTACTTCAACCAATTCTTCATTTCTGTAGGACCAAATGTTGGACTGTGCGCTGTCACAACGTCCCAAAATATATACATATACAGTCAAACTTCCATAACTCGAACTTCTATAACTCGAATTTTCTATAACTCGAACAAAAATATGGGGAAAGTGCATTCTATAAGTCGAATTTTTGTTTTGAGTATGAAAGCATTTTGTTGTTAGGGAAAGTTCCTTTTTCCAAACCAAATGTTTACTTTTTTCTTTCTTATGTTGCTGCTTTGTGCAAATGCCAGTTGCTGGCAGCGTAGTTTAAAGTTAATAAAATAACTTCAATTATATTGATCTTAACAATGAAATTTGTACATCAAACTTTCTTACATATGACGATATTATTGAGCATTATAGCTCTGAATTTGTGGATCTGATTCTAAGCGCAACGGACAGTGATGATAAGGGTTCGTTGGATGTAATTGTTTATTAGTCTTCCAAATATGAAGTAGAACACTCGTTCAAAATTCTGAATTTATATTTGCAAACGAATAATAGTAGATCTGATGATCACTATAAGAGTATGAATAAATTGAAATCTTTTTTTTACTGAAAATAAGAAAAAAATTAAAGTCCCAAACGCTAAATATTTTACTTCACTATAACTTGTGTGCTTTATTTGATTACAAATAAATAAATATCTAAAAATGAAATGCTAGTTTCTTTCAAAAATAAAAAAACATAAAAAAATTTTCTAACTCGAAGTCTTCATAAGTCTTCTTATGGAGTTCTTTTTTTTTTGCAAAATTGGACTTCGAGTTATGGAAGTTTGACTGTATATAAATATTCTATAAAATCGAAACCCAAGCACTTATTGTAGGTAATCAATAACAAAATTCGGGGGCAATTCTCATCTAAATTTGGGAGCAAGAGCAAAGCGTAAGAGTAATATAATGCAACTTATTCTTGTAAATCTACACTTCAATCTAACTAGAAATATAAAAATTCACACCCACAATATTGACTTAGCGGATAATGACATTGAAATAATGTTGGCTTCTAAATAATTTATTATTTCAATAATTATTAAGAATATTTGCTTATGAAAGGAAAGATATATAACAAAACCATGAAATCAATATAAATTGTTATAAGCCAATAACATTATTTCGGATTAATGTCCCATAAATGCAGTAAATATTGTTAAATAAACTTTTAATGAAACCACATGCTTTTATTTTGTTTATTTAGAACACAATATTAAAATCAAATTAAATATAATAATTGATTTTTCTCTAAAATAAATTGATTTTTTTTAGTAATTAATTACTAGTACGTTGTTAATCGTATCAAGTAATTTTTTTTTCTTCTTAATTTTCTGGTTTTAAAATATATCGCCTCATGTTCAGATCTTCACCAATCTTCATATTTCAAACTACTTGTAAAAATTGCATATATCTTAGAAACTCATATAGCCGCGTGCGAAATGACTTCTTGCAACCGAGTTTGCGACGAGAATAATAATAATTAGAACAGTGAATGTAAAACCTACTGCAAGTGGTACAAAATCAGTTTCCGGTCTATTACAATCATGAGCAGCCGAGAAGTGTTCAGCATGGGCGGGAAGAAAAGCCTGCACTTGCACATTACGAACAATCATTTTCCCATGCACCGGTTCAACATTAGCATTGGATTCAGTAAATTGCAGTTCCCGTGGATAGATGCAATGATAAGACATTTTTCTGGGTGCTCTGAAATGGATTCCACGGTGTGACAATTGAATTGTTTGATTCTCCTTTGCATCTAGGAAACGGTAACTGTTCAATGAAATGTTGATGCTCACCATTGTCATCTGCACTGATCGCTCTTTCATGTCAAATTGGAGAATCATGGTATTTATTGCGTCAATAGGACCCCAAGTGATCAATATGTTTTGTTTATGGTGGCCCTCACATGAACTATTACCAACTTTTGCGTCAGTGGGTATATTTAATAATGCAATGCGGAGCCTATTATCCTTGGTATAGTACGTGAAAGTCAACTGTGCTGTCATCATAATCATAATACAACTGGAGTTCCATGAACCAATGATATGCTCTGAGATTGGCGAGATAGCAGTTGCGTTAGTTGTTGTGGCTGTGGTGATGGCAGGCATAAGTGTAGTCGTTGAAACCACGATAGTTGTTGTGATAGAAGATATCAATGCCGAAGTCTTTGATGAAGTCATTGATGTATCCTCTTTTTCCACATCTACAGCAGCCACTGGAATCGGTTTGGCAATTGAGGTCAGCGCATTTGATTGAGCTAGAGCAATATAGTGATTTGTCAGATTGGCATCAAGTTGCTCAGCGCAAAGGAAGCTGCAGCCAATAGCTAGCAGTAAACCAAATATTAGTTTAGAATAACAGGGCACCATCTTTACTAAAAGATGCTCCGTTTACCACGTTATTAATAATATTTAAGTTTGTGTAAAATGTGTTAAAAATATGTAAAGATCTAATTATTTTATGCTTACTGCTTTTTTCAAAATATTTTTTTTCTGTTGCTAGAATTTTTACATAATTTAATAAATGTTTTTTTTTTATTTGAATTTTTTTTGACAGGTAAGAGAAAGCATATATTATTTACACTGAATTAATTAAATGGTGTATAAATGCATCACAATTCTTCGAATTACAATATTGTGACGAACTTGGTTTTAAGCATTATTAAATCATAACCACAATGCAACCCTGACACAAAAAAGATACGTCAAATAAATAAAAATTTCAGTTTAAAGAAGTTTCAGTTTTTGTACATCAGCGTATAGGTAAATAAAGGTTATTAAGTTGCTAACAATTAAATTGAAGTAAACTATTTTTGGCATTGACGAACCAAGACAAATAGATTAATTATAATAGACAAATTCGTAACAATATTATAGAAACAGATGACTCTTTTTAGTAGTAAGTATTTCTGTACTTTACAAGTAATTCATTTAAAAGTGTAAGTAATTACTTAGTAGACCCTAACAATATTGCATTCCTTTGTAGGAATCAAGAAGGATTAATTATTTTTTAATTCTTTTAAGTTATTTCGCTACATAGTGTGAAAAGCAAACACTGCAGCTATTAAAAGAAATGAGCAATCTGCACATTTTTCTTTGTGCTCAAAATTGCAGTTTTGGAGCTTTGGAGATATGGCCTCATAACCATATCATAGTTACAAAACCGTGCCCTCAGTGTATTGTTTGATGATAATACCTGGACCACAGTGGTGACTAGCAACTGGTAATTATTATTATTATCTTATTCTCATCTTACCATGTTATTACTATTATGGTCATTCACAAGAATGGACACAATAAGTGACGGCTACTTTTTTTGACATACACATACGTCTCCACACATTCTTATCCACTCTGATCCACTTTGAGATAGTCCCCAGGCGAAACCCTTGAGTGGGAACTGTTAGAGGACTGAGGACACAACACTGTTTTTAAATATCTGTTGATATTTTTCTTTAGGTTCACATTGCATGTTTTACCTGACACAAACACGATGTCACGCGGACGATGGATACCTTATTTATTTATTTATTTATATTTATTTATTTATTTTCATTTACGAGTATTTATTTTTATTTATTTATTTATATATTCATATAGTTAACTTTTAAATGTTGATTTATTTATATAGTAATTTATTTAGTCATTTATATTTAGTTACTTTTGTTATTTGGTTATATTCACAGCAATCGTGTCAGGTTATTGTATGTGGATAAGATAAACCATCATTTTTCAGAGAGTGGTAGGGTAAAGTGTATGTGCGGTGTTAATTTCTAGTGGCTACCTACCACTGTGGTCCAGGTATTGTCATCAATATGATTATGAGGCTGTAACAGTGACAAATCTCCAAAAACTGGAGTTTTGAGCACAAAGAATAATTCTTTCCTTTCGAAAAGGAGAAATTATCTTCTGTTACTTTAGAAGTATAGTTTCTCAGTACAGTATAAAATGCGGTACATCATTATCATCATAATTTTATTGATTGAAATGTATTTTCATAGAGATAACAAATCTTATAAATCACATCCAAATAATTACGGCAATTTTTTGTTTCTTTAAGTTAATAAAAACTTAGTAAATGAAAAAAACCCTTCACATTATAATGCTAAATAAAATTTATAACTATCATTTTTATTGTTTATTGTGAAATAAAAGTAAACGTTCTTGCTATATTTTGTGGATTAACGCCTAATAAAGGGTAATTCCGTCACATAACTTTCCTTGAATTCAACAAAGTTATTAATTTTGAAGTTAAATGATTATTTATTTCTATAAGATTAAATGAATTAATTAATATAATATTTTCAGCATGTCTGTTGAATGTAGATGTTAACATACCTAAATATATCAGACGTATATATAATATATAGACAGTAACTGCATCTTTATTTTTTCCACAAAAACATTGTTTAATGTTTAATAGCCTTAGGGCTATGTTATGTAGAGTGGCACGGGTATTGGCTCTATCGGACTATGACGAAAAATGTATATTATGTAGAGCAAAACCTGTAAGGTTTTTTACATAGAGACAGTAAAAATGTTATTTTTTATTATCATATTTTCTTATAATAATTGTTAACTGTACTTACTTACCCTGTTATTATTGATAAAACTTGATAAGATAATTTGATAAGATCTCTGAAACTTAGTTCATAAGCTCTTATTATTGTTTACCTTTAACGTTCTCACGTTTAAGGAACCCTAAAATTTTAATTAATTTTTAAGCAACTTCTGTATTATTGAAACCTTTTTGTTAGGTCATCACTACACGAGATAATCTTTTAAAAACCACTCATATGTAGTTTTTACTACAAAATATACTATACTACTAGTTCAATATTTTTTTGTGTTATTTGAGATAGAAAAAATTATTTGCTCTTATGAACTGTTAAACGTTCTTGGTTTCATGGTGTCTAACTTTAAAGTTCTTAGTGTGGTTTACGAGAAAGTTTGAATTTATTAAAGAAAAAGTTTTTCAAGCAGATGTACTGCTTTAACATTTGACTCTGTGTTAAATTGCATTTAAGGTTCACTGCGGAAACTAAATACTTAAATACTCTGTAAATCTTTCTCCATTCGGTATAATAAATTTTACGTTTTTCGAGCATGTTGGCTTTCTGGGTTCATGTTGCTTTTCTACTATCAGATGAAAATGCAATACGGATTTTTTCGGAAAGCATAAATTTTAAGGTTTACTGACAAATTTAAGAGAGAGGAAATATTTTATATACTTAGATATATAGCTTTTCTGCTATGTATAAATATATATATATCAATATATTTTTTAGGTTTCTTTATGTTTATAACATCAATTTAGTATCTTTCAGTAATAAATACTTAATATAAAAAAAATTGAAGTGTTTTCAATTGATTTAATAACCACAATTTTAATGTGGAAGATATAAGTATCTTAAATGTAAGAAATAAATGCATTGTTATTATAAAAATTATTTTAACAAGTTCATAGAATGTGATATAAGTAAAACAATATATTGAAAAATAACATTTTAACATATTTTTTGAATTTTTAACTGCTAAAAATACGCCAAAAATATTTCTCATATAGTATATGTGCATAATTAGAATATAAGTACATTTGTTCCAATTAAATACTTTACATATAAACTTCATATACTTGCAAAGGTAATATGATTCAGCAGAAAGATTTTGAGAGGCATTTGTTTTTTTTTTTTATAAAATTAAACATTTCTGAGCATTGCAAGACTTTAATATCACCATAGAAATGATATGCATCTCCTTGCATACGCCGACTACGTCATCATCATTGGGCGCATCAATGGTAATGTTAGTTATGTCTTTGTTGCTATCAGGAAATCTTAGTGATAAGAGCAAATCAAAGTATATATTAGCTATCAAAGTATATATGTATGACGCTTAGTAGTTGCTTGTTGTAGACTACACTTTCGAAGTACCATTTAAAATAACAATAAAGTCATTCTAGAGATTAGGTGGGGAATTGATGTTGACTTAACTCTTCTAATACGCTCACTGTTCCGACTGAAAGACATTACACTCTACATGTTACTTGCCTTCTAACGAGACCCGACAATTAACTTATATAATTTGTATAAATTACTAATATATTCGAAAATTTCATTTAAGTCATAATTAACACTCGATCGAAGTCAGGTAAACGTTTATTACGTGGGGGACCATCTCATCAATTGATGTAACTAATTATTATAAAATTTTTCTTTATTTTTTGAACAGTATTTATTTCTCACTTAATCCGTACTAATTATCTATTTTCGTTCACTTTCCTCTCTACTACTAGTTGCTCCAAGGTTCTTGATTGTATCGCTATGTAAACGAATAAAGTCAGTTTTGCATTGGGAAATGTTTTCATAAGTTTTCATAAGACAAAAAATTGTCTTCAACTATATTATATTATATTATTGTTAGATGAAGTGAAACTGCGACCGTCGGGTCTATTGTACCCGCTTCTGGGCTTAAAGTAGGTCTCGAAGCCCTGTTGCGTCAATAAAAAGTAGTATAGAACCTACTTTGCTGAGTTTTATTGACTCTTTCGTAAGAATATACATTCCCAGGAGCATATTCCGTATGTGTATTAGCGCAGGACATTCTAACAGCACATGTGTGACCGACTCCGCATTCTCTTCACATAATCTCCAGTTTGCATCCGCATGTATAACCAATCTCGTAAGGTGGTATTTTAGTTTACATTGCCCTGTTAGGATTTCTGTGATGATTCTAAGTTTTTCTTTTGATAGGTTTATACAATCCTGATATTTCTTGTTATAATTCTTATTAATTCTGATATATTATCCCGATAATCCTTTTTGTTTTTGTTCTCCATTATTTTTATGAGAGGACTGTAGTGTGTCCTAGTCCACAAAAAGGTTCCGGTTCCATCATCGTTGTGGTTGCTCCTTTCCTGGCTAATTTGTCCGCATATTCATTTCTATATACACCAGTATGTCCCAGTACCCAAAGAATCGACACTAGCTTATCAAGGCAGTCTTGCACAAGTCTTGAGGTAATCTGCGGCGAGTTTAGTGGTTTGATTGCCGCTTGGCTGTCTGTCCGTATTGCGATATTTTTACTCTGGTAATTCTGTTCAATATTGATGAAGAAATAAAATTGCGTAAATTTCCGCTTGGAAGATGCTGGTATTTTTACCAGCGCTTCCCAATGCTTGTTGCCTGGTCCGACTATGCACACTTCGGTACCTTCCTCCGCAAGCGAGCCGTCAGTGATTGATGCCCTCTCAGCTTCTTTTGTTGTTTAGTTCACTATTATAATCATCCTTTATTTTAATGATAATATAAAGTTTTAAAGTGAATTAGTTTAAAAGCAATATTTTGTAGTAGCTGCAATATAATAACGTCAGTGTCATAATAATCCAAACCTTGGAAGTGTTTTATGGCACAAATATAAAAACAAAAATTTTAAGGATGGTGCGTCATATGTTAATATATACATACTTATGCA